AATTTGGTCCCATACTATGCGGACGTACTTATCTCGGTCTGGTCTAGATTGCTCGTGAAAGAATCCAAGCGCGTGCATAGTCTCGTGCACTATCGTGCCCAGTCTCTCACAACCATGTCCAATCGAGATCAACTGGCGTCTATTCTTTTTAGGACTACGCCCTATTCTTGAATAGCATCTATAGATAAAAAAATACCCAGTTTCATTATGACGTCATACGTCAGAATATCTTATATTTTCAAAAGATGTGTTATTGGTTTTTCTCTGACTTGCGGCCATTACAGCTACCATTAAACATCAAACGAAATAAATTACGCTCTGCCTTCCCGTGAATTTATTTGTTTATTATTGAATGTGAATAAAGGGTTGTCGCAAATCCTGGCACGATTTTATTGAGAAGTTTTCGAATTTGACACCGTTAAATTTTCAGTTTTCCTTTAAAGTTCTAGTTAATTTTAGATGTTGCTCCCCCCTCTGGATTCTCAACCTCCCCCACTGATGAATATTGCGCAGTCATTTATGTCCTTTACCAGCCCAAAATCATTAGCGTTAAAGCGATCATTTTTCTTAATGAGTGATGTATTGGTCTCCCTCAGAGCTTAATTTAGCAGATTGTATCTATTTTACGTATTTTCCAAGCTCATTGTAAACAATTAAGAGTTCATTAAATAAGTTTCTTACCCCCTTCCTGTAAAGTACATGACGTAATGATGAGGCGAATTTCTACAGTACTTGTGAAACCTGACGCACGTGTGTAATTCAATATGTTTGAAGGCCTTATGAATCATTCTCCTTGTGTATTTACCTAGAGAAATAAAAATGGTTTGAGATTTTAGAAGATAGAGCAGATAGCAGTGAGCTGAACCGACCCTTAACTTACTGGCACTGATTATCGAATCATACTCGACATTATAAATTTTTTGCGATATAACGTGCACTTTGATTGGCTGACGACCGTGTTTATATCAGAAGACAGAGACACGGCTTAACTGCAAAAATTGTTTGCACCGTGATTTGTACCTCTGGGCCGGGTTGTTGAAAGCTCGATTAGCGGCAATCCTGGGTTAACTTAGAAAAACTATGGAAACCCTGGATTAACGCTAATCGGGCTTTGAGCAACCCGGTCCTGGAAAAGTCTGTCAAAGAAATCTGCTATACGTACTTAGACTCCGGTGAAGTTTGTAGTACAATATCCCATGAGGCCATCTGTACATTGGAATGTTAACAGCGTCTCTTTCTTCCAGTTTACCGCTGTCCAGTGCTTCTTGTTCTTCTTTGTCCATCATGATGTCTCCCTCAAAAAGGTCTGCTTTCTGTTCGACTTTTGTAGCGTCTTCTTTGTTGATAAGATCTAAAAACATCAATTAATAAGCAAGGAAGAGTCATGGCTATTTTCAAAAAGTACTTCGGTAAGTATGAAGGCATAAAACTACTATCTGACATCCTTTTTTTTCTTTTTCTCCTAGCTTTGAGAAATTTTGTACTTAACAATATTACAAAAAAGAAAAAATAAATTGTAAGATATGGAAACGGATATTCGCTATAAAACTGAGTACTCACTGACGTCACTGCATAATTTGAATATATTACCCTAAAAATAGAATCTAAAAACTAAGTTTAATTCATATTTTATACTTTTTATTAATATCAAATATATATAGACACTACAAGCACTATAAAACAAATTAAAGTTTTAATAAATGCGCCATATATAAACTTCCATCTGCTTACTCTGGTGTCGCCATGAATGTCGGGATCGATGACGTCATTAAAACTATGCGAAATTTGAAGATAATTACTTAAAATTGTATCCAAATGACTGCTTTGTAGGTATAAATTGATTTGAATTAGCTGTTAATTGTGTTTTCTTCAAGTTAAATGAATTTTCTTTTGAGGTGTTGTTAATACTWTATTATAGAATTACTCACGCATGGCTTGTTTCACGAATATTTTTCTCGCTTTTTTCTAAGTAAAATGTCAAAATAAATCGTTTTTTCTTCATTAAACTAGCCACAAAAATCAACGATCTACATTCAAAAGCACTGAAGACCAGGTTTTTTTMAGTTTTCGTGATCACTTTTAATTATTCCCTACATTTTTAACATATATTTTTCGCTTGGTTTACCATGTTTTTCTAAATGCCAGCATGATAAAGTTCAGATTGAAACACATATTAATCATTAAGAAATAAAAATTATCAACAATTCTTTATTACAATATAACAAACTGTTTTCATATAGGTTTAGGCCATTGATAAATGTTTTAATAAGTAAAAATAAGCGACATGCAGCGGAAAAATCATTCAAGTATATCATGCAATGTTGTCATAAGATTGACTCCAAAAAAAGCCGTTTAGACACTACTTTATATAATTATTATCCACGAACTTTAAAAGTTATMTAATTATTGCCTATAGTTTCAAATTCTCATTAGAAAATCAAAAGATTTAGGTCCCTATTTCTGTCATATGGCCAAAATAATTGAATGCATGGGTAGGTTTATAATTACAKTAGTAAAAGCCTTCAGAAGATTACTAAAGTTTGTAAAGAACTACCTACATTACTTACCTTCCATTTCTTTCTCTATTTTCCCATCTAAAATCCTACTTTCAATTACATTAGAAAGTGTTAAAAAAGCTATAAAAACAACAACAAATGCCCGAGCCATATTGAAGAATTGAGGCATAGTCTATTTTA